ATTTCACAACATTAAGTGACCTAAGCTATGGAAAATTCTCCAAATGGGAATTCGATTCTCACCACATGATATTTCTCATACAACACTCTATGAGACTACAACAAGAAGAAAAGGAGTTGTGTGAGAAGTGTGTTATCGCCGATTTTTTTAGCATCTATTCCGAATTTGTACAGGCAGGAAGTGGATGGTTGGCATGGTGGTGTAACTCTTGATGGAATCAAGAGATCTCATTTGAGATTTGCCAACGATACCACTCCTATCGCTTTTTCTCAGGGTCAATTGTTAACCTTACTTAACATCTTAGAACAAGATAGTGCAGCATGTGGTCTCAGTATCAACTACAATAAGACCAAGGTCATGATTATTGATAGGTGTAATAATCAGAGTTATAACTAATATATTTTATTATCATTTGACAACTAACTTCAATCTAACATACACATCATAAATCTATAGGTACTGGTATTCAGGTAGATATCACACCATCTCCCCTCTAGGTTTCGGATTATCTTCTTCCGATTTTTCCTCCGAAAAAGGTCGTAAGAAAATTCTATTTCTTCTGAATATTCTTCCGCTCGATGTTTTTAATGTATAACATATAACATCTATTTCTTCCCCTTTCTATTATTATTCCAGCTTTATTCCATTTTTTGGAAATAGGATCTTGTATTTTAACCTTACTTCCAACATGGATCTCAGGTAAATCTTTAGCATTTCTATCTTAATAACTTTTATTATAATTTGTAAGTTTTAAAATTTTCGAATCGTATTCATTTTTTATTCTTTCCCACTCCGGAGTAAATAATTTACAATGTGCTGGAACCAAAGAACGAATGGGATGACCATATAAAATTTCTGCAGGTGATTTACCCTCATCAGTTTTAGGTGTATTTCTCCACTCTAAAAGTCCTGAAGCATATTTTTCTTCATCCAAATGTCCCCCTTCTAAAAATTTTTTTAATAATGTTTTCATGGCTTTAACAGCTGCCTCTGCATGACCATTACTTTTCGGATAATATGGAGTGGATGGACATCCACTGATATTCATTTTTTTTAAAGAAATTTTTGATTCTGATGGTGCAAATTGTGGACCATTGTCTGATCGAAGTCGAATTGGAACTCCAGTAACCGAAAAAATTATTCATAGATTACTTATAATTTTGCTTGAATTTGGCATTCTATTATGATACTGACCAACAAAAGGCCAACCTGAGAGGCGGTCCACGTAAACCATATAATGTTTGCCAGCACAGTTGAAAATATCAGCTAAAACATCTTGGAATGGGTAATTTGGTAAAGGATCCACTATATTATAAGTTTCTTTACATTGTGATGATCTTATTTCTTGACACTTCTCACAATTTTCTATAATGTTTTTTATATTATTTGATATTTGTCGCCAGTGAACTGCTAGACGTGCTCTTTTTTTTGTTCTTTCAATACCTTGATGAGAATCATGCAAACGTTCTAAAACTAATTTTCTTACGTTTTTTGGTATCACAATTTGATTTCCTTTTAAAACCAAATTATTTTCGACACCTAATTCATCTTTATTGTTCCAGTAAGGCCTAAGCTCTTGTTTTAATAATTTTTTTACTTCTGGAAAACCATATCTAATTTGTTCTATTAATTTTTGGTGATGTTCGTCATTTCTCGCTATTTGCTCTATTTGATCTAATATTGGGTCCTTGAAATGTGAATACTAGACACTTTCTTCGAAATTATCAACCAAGCCAATTTGAAATCGAATAAATGAAATTATGTGCGTTTGTGCTTCTTCCGCCAATAAATCGTCTTCACCAGGAATCAGTACTGGGTGTCTTGAAAGGGCATCAGGAATTTGATGATCTTTTCCTTTTATCCATACACCTGTTAAAATTATATCCAATTAATTTTTCTTTGGGACGTTGCAAGCGTGGATTTTCTATCATGTCCATTGATTGATCATTAAGTAATGAAATAAATGGATTATGGTCTCTAACTAGTTTAAAATTATCAAGTCCTAGTAAATAAGTTCTACATTTAGATACAGCCCATACAATACTAAGCATCTCTAATTCAACCATTGCATATCTTGATTCAGTGTCATTTATAAATCTTGATCCGCTTTGGATCATTTTCCAATTGTCATCATGTTTTTGCATAAGAATGTATCTTAAACTATGTAAACGCGAAGCATCTGTATGCAATTTTGTGGGTAATGACGCATCATAATGTGCCAACACTGGTGGCTCAATTAACGCTTTTCTTACATCATCGAATGCTTAATTATGAACTTGTGCCCACAAGTACTGGTTTTTCTTTTTCAGTAAATCCCTCAACGGAGTTGCTGCATTACTAATTTCCGATGAAAAGAATCCCAGTTGATTTACCAGTCCCATAAAAGATCTAAGTTCAGTTATATCTGCCGGTTTAGGAAAATTCTGTATTGCTTCAACTTTTGTTGGGTCAGCTTTGATTCCCATTTTGCTGATTCTATAACCAACATAAGTCACTTCATTTAGCAAAAACAAAATTCTTTTCATTAAGGGTTATTCCAGCTGATCTGCAACATTCTAGCAACTGTACAATTCGTTTATAATGTTGAAGACTAAAATTTGTATCGTAGACTAATATATCATCGACTACCTTTTCTATATTTTCCATATTGGATAAAGCTGATTCTCCTCTTCTGCAAAATTCATCTTCAGAACTAACTAATCCCATTGGGGCTCGCAAAAATTGCTATACCTTCCCCACGGTGTTAGAAAAGTTGTTAAATTTTTACTTTCTTCGTCAAGTTCCATTTGCCAATATCCCGAAGTAGCATCTAAGGTGGAAAATAAAATTAAATTGTTTTTTACGTGTGATACTGCTTCCCAAGGGGAAGTAAACGGGTGGACAGACCGCACAATGTATGTATGTATATTATTTATCTTTGTAAAGTCTACAAATACTCTTATTTTCCCATTTGGTTTTTGAACCACCACTAATGGACACATTCTAATACTCCATCTTCCACTAGCTTAATTATATTTTTTGTAACCATACTATCAAGTTCATCCTTCACTGCTTCTCTCCAGGCAAATGGTATTCTTCTAGGGCATGGTATAGCAGATGGTACGGCATTTTCTTTTAAATAAATATGTACAGGTGAACCTTTCATAGGTTTCAATTCATTATCAGAATTAAATACCTACATCTGCATATTTCATTAAAAGTTCTTTTTGTATTTGCTCTAATTCGACTTCTGTCGGATTTTCGGGGATAATACCACGAGAGCTTCAAAATTACCAATAACTTTTCACGATTGCGTGTTTTCTATAATTTCACGAGTCCGTAGGACGAGTGAAATTTGCAGAGAAAACACGCATGAGTGCAAAATTATCTGGTTCATTTTAAAGTTCAAGTGGTATTTAGAGGATTATTCCACTCATGTGTTAGAAATCCCATAAGACAAGTGACGATTTTCAGAATTACAGCGAAAATTCCCTTTTCCATTTGTTTAACTAGAGAGAATTACAGCGATAATTATCCCATGTTATTGTATACATGGTTGTCATGCTAATTTTTGATACAAACAAACGGTTCCTGATACCAACCATTTATTTGTATTGATTGTTAAAATGTTCAAATCGTTTAATACATATTTATTTCCATATTTTTTGCATTCTTATATGTGAAATAATCCTCTAAATACCACTTGAGCTTTAAAATGAACCAGATAATTTTTCACTCATGCGTGTTTTCTCTGCAAATTTCACTCGTCCTACGGACTCGTGAAATTATAGAAAACACGCAATCGTGAAAAATTATCGGTAATTTTGAAGCTCTCGAGGTATTATCCCCGATTATTTCACGTATGAGAATGCACAAAATATGGAAATAAATATGTATAAACGGTTGCTATCAGAAACCTTTTGTTTGTATCAAAAATTAGCATGACAACCATGTATACAATAACATGGGAGAATTATCGAATGTAGTACCACAAGAGGTTTCAGGATTACCGGATAATACTTTTACCTGTCACAAAACGCGTTACGCAACACCACGACTCCGAAGGAGGAGTGGTGTTGCTGGTAACGCGTTGAGTGTCAGGTGAAAGTATTAGGTAATCCTGAAACATCGAGTGGTATTCAAAAGGTTATACAACGAACTAAACTTTAATACGCTGTACATTATCTCCATATGACACGAGAGGCTTAAAAAGTGATAAGCCTTTTGGGATTATCGCGCTTGGTGGCAATATTTATAGCAAATTATATTATAGAAAAAGTTTTGTTTCATTTCTTGCCACCAAGCGCGATAATCCCAAAAGGCTTATCACTTATTAAGCCTTTCGTGTCATATGGGAATAATATACAGTGAGTTGTATAATCGCTGTATTTCTCTCTAGTTAAACAAATAGAAAAGAGAATTTTCGCTGTAATTCTGAAAATCGTCACCTGTCTTATGGGATTTCTAACACATGAGTGGAATAATCGATGCTATCATATTATATTCCAGAGGATTTATTGATATTTTTAATAATTTTTGGAAAATCCGGATGTAAGATACCCAATTATATCATTCATTCTCGGTTGATAAGAATTTCTTGCACGCCAGAACAAATGTACATCACCACCTCGGATTCTCGATTTTCGTAATGAATTTTACATTTCAGTGTTCCCAAAAATGTGAATTTTGAGCCATCAGCTGACTGTAGTGTTTCATTTGATTTCCGCAATGCAGTTTGGGACATGATAATTTACGAAGAAAATTCTCTCCAGCAATGCAAACTTCGGCACCAGTATGAGGAATAGCTTCAAAATGTTGTTCGTAGTTGCCATAAAAAAACTTCAATTTTGATTGAACATCGCTGTTTTTCTTTCTGATCTGTTGTTAATGTATTCAAAAGACCAATTCTTTGATTATTACAACTCTTATGTCATTTTCTTCATTATTTCTGATCGGTGCCTTTTTGGATAAGCAGCAATCCGTAAAATATCCTTTCTTATTCCATTTCATACAAACAAAATTTAGGCAGCACAAGTATTTATATCTTGATGCCATCCATTATTACATCTGTAACATTTCTTTTTATTTGTAAATATTTTTTCATCTATTTTATTTATGATTCTAGATTTTTGTTCTTCATCATAAGCTCTCTCTTCTTGTTCGCATATCTTCATAACTTCATCTATTGAAGCAGTGTCTGGTAGCAATCTACATTTTCTTCTTACTTCAGGATCAGCAATTGTTGCTATTATATGATCTGTTAAACATCTTTGGTAACAATTTGCACATGGATCGGTAAGCTGAAAGAGTTTGATTTTCTCTCTGTAAAATGACAATAAAGGATTCTCCCTCTTCCTGTTTCCTTGACATGAATTGGATTCTTCTTATTCTCCCATTTTCCTTTTTTCTAGAATAATTTTCAATTTTATCCAGTATATCTGTGCTAGTTGTATTTTTAAATTCTATGTTTAGCACAAGTCGTCTGATATCGAATATTTCTTGTGTAAAAAAAAGAAAAGAAAAGTTAGCATTGTTGGTTAGATGCATTTTTCATGTTATGAAAAAATGAGTAATTTTCGTACTTTCTACGCCAGTCCAAAAACGGTCCCAAAGTGAGATGTTCTACAAATTTTTCAGGACCTGGCACAGCATTTGTGAGATGATGGAAGTTTTGTAATGAACTATTTTCTGGCATGATTGAACTTTGTGATTTATTTAAATTATCAACGGACATACTTTACTTGGACATAAATTAAAAATTAAATAAATAAATAAAAATATTTGTTCAATAATTTCTTCGTTTTCTGAAGTTGATCCGCCTGCAATAGCGGAGACGTTTCCAGTAGTGTTATTGGAAATTCTTTGATTATCCAATAAATTTTCTAGCATATTTTGCATCTTGTTTAGTTTTTCAATGAAACTGTTTTCTAAAGCTTTGATTTCATCCTGATTCGAAGCAATTGAATGTCCTATGGATTTTAGCTTATTTCCTAGGAGAGCTCCGATATCCGCAGTGTCTTCCTTTTTTCGACAAGGCATAATTATTATTCTTGATAGGTTTAAAAAACTAACGACTGCGCCATGTAATAATCAGAGTTATGAGTGATATATTTTATTATCAATTGACAATTAACTTCAATCTAACATACACATAATAAATCTATTATAGGTACTGGTAATCAGGTAGATATCACACCAATAGGGAACGTGATAATCATCCTGAAATAACATCAGCAGGCCGTTGTCCAGAGGATTGTATGCCTCGGTTCTTTGATCGACAATTCAGGTAGCTGCGACGTTGAAATCTGTCGGTGCATTCAACGAGGACGGTCAGCCATGATCTCTATTTTATATTGCACTGCCTAGGAATGTGCAAACATTAGATGACAAGACCTTTTTAAAAACCATAAAAAATCACTTACATAGGCATGCATTTTACAATGTCACTGACTTTTTGCGTTATGAAATTTCATAGGAGGGTGATTAAGGCGGCAGAGTTTATTTCTATTTCTATGTCTATATTGTGATTGCTTGTGATATTTATGTAGAAGATTGTGATATTTATGTAAAAGTTATTATTTGTATATGTCTTTGTAAATGTTCATTATAAATTTTAAACAAGTGAATCTTAAATTTTAATTATAATATTAGTATAGTGATTTAAAAAATTAATTGCTGTGATTTTAAATGTCTGTTCTTAGAAATAACTAATCATAAACTGGGGTCGTATTTTCGAAACCATTCGAATGCCGTTCGTATACGAAATAAGGCGAAATTCGCATGAAAATTGAGGTTCCGTATTTTCGAATCACTTTCGAACGGTCCGTACACGATTTGGTTCGTGTACGTTTACTCGAGTGGGTCTCTACCAGTCGAATGTCACATTTCGCATACGATTTTACTTGATTCTGCGCAATGTTTGGAATTTTGAAGTGCTAATTATTTTGTTTACATACGTTATATTTGCTGTTTATGTACCTACCTACACCCTACCTAAATATGTTGTGCAAATTGAAAATTGTGTTCGATGTTCGTTCTCCTTTTGACTTTTCATTCGTTTCCAAATAATTTGCGGATTAAATTATCCTGCTTTATTAAAAGACAGGTTTTGGAATGGCTGGATCGGATTATTTAATTGAAAAAAATGTTATTGATGCCCTCGAAGAATTTTGATTGATGTGCTTACTTTGCGCCAATGTTTCTATTTTTTTTAGCTCCTGAAAGCTGAATTTTCCTGATTTTTAGTTCTGGATGTTCCTCCATGAAGCTAATCAAATCTTTCTTTTGTTCAGCAGACACAAACCCTCCAAAAACGATGATTGTTAGTTAACGTTATAAAAAACAAGGACGTTCAAGGAAATCCCAACGAGCAGGTGCACAAAATTTATTTCAGCAAGATCTATACCAACAGAATAGACTAAATAATACTTGATAAACTCAATGGATAAACTCAATAAACAGCCACAAAATACAAAAAAGAGTTAAGCCTATTCAAAACACGTAACTTTGACAAGCAAAATATGGCCGGCAGGAGGAACACGAACTACTATTCACATACACTATTTAAATACGCTATTTTTGACATAAATACAACAGTTTTAAATATAACAACGTAGATAATTCACAATTAGCACTATTTAAAACTCATAACACCATTTGATAACACCTAAACAAAGAGTTTGTGTGCCTCTTGGCAGACATTTTCATTTAAGTTTGACAGTATTTTGGATAATCTATAGGTTAACAGCAAAAGTAGGGAGTGTTATGGTATTTTTTAAAAGCCAAATGTCAAAAAATACCTCTTCGTTTTTGTATCGGTCGAAATGGCTATTACCAAATACTCGAATTTGCGACGTTGTTAACGCAAATGATACTCGTATACGATATCATTTTCGGAAGGCCTTCAAAAATACGCAATTTAGTTCGTACACGACTTTTTTCATTCGAATTAGATCGCATGCGAAAGAATTCGCATGGTTTCGAAAATACGACCCCTGTATTTTTCCTGTTGACGTGTGCAAACAATGGCATGTAATATTGACAGTTGAGTTGAAAAGGGCGCTTCTGTACTTGGAGCTATTTAAATTTTAGCGCGTACATAATTGATTGTAATTTTAACCTCAAAAGTTAAGTCTGATGTGTAGTTTCAAGACAAGCTGACGCTGACACTTTTAAAAATATTCTCTAAGGGCCACTGAATGCTTTGGAAGATATTTTAACTTATTCATTGCCCATTGTTCATATTGTAGTCATCTTTCCTTCTACTCAGTTTAAACGGCTTAAAACTATTGACATTTACCGCCAAAATTTGAAGCACTCCAAGTGCACTCGCGCCCTCTACAAAATTTTGGAGAACTTTACTGGATATTTGCTGCCATTATGTATTGTAAAGCATGAAAATAAATTTGATTTGATTTGATTTGATTTATGACTAGACCATAATATCACGAAAGCCACCAAAATGTCGCTTGTCTCTCTTGTCTTTTCCATATTTTTGTATGGTTCTGAAACCACCGCATAGGCAGATTTGAAATGTGAACTTGGAGGAGGGTGCTAAGAGTTCCTTATACAGCTCACCGAACTACCGTTTTCATATTAAGCGAACTCGGAAATCCAAAACGACTATCCTTCATTAGTTATATTCCTTTCACACCTAGGAGGAGCTCCGGAACAGCGAAACAGCTCCGGGGCTTATTCCTATCGAAAAGTGTTTATTGCACCTTGCATCTATTCCTTACAAATCGGGGGCGACTGACACCGGAGCGAGTAGCTCGAGTGTTTCAAACTCCTGAAAGGAATACAACTATAGTTTCATTGTGACCGAATTGACAAATAATCGCAATGCGGTTTCCAAAGCAGTTGACAACCTACGTGTCAGCAATCCTCCAGTATATTCTAAAAGTTCACAACATATCTGGCAAGAAATTGTGACTATGAAGATGATGATGATGATGAATATTAAGTTAGCGAAAGTAATAATAAATTTGCTTAGTGCTTTTTAATTTGATAAAAGTTCTGCTTAACTTAATAAAAGTTAAACTTAACACGAAACCTATTAAGGCAAAATTATCGATAATAAAAAAACCCATCAAAATAATTATTATCAGTTGCTTATTATTGTTGTTCCAGTAAGCCATAAACAACATAATAAACAATTATTAATGCACATATTTTACGAAATGATTCACTGAATTAATTTCTGTCAGATATTTTTCTTGTGAAACATAAATGAAATTAATTATTATAATATTTTTTTCCCTCCCAGCCATAGTCTCGTATTTTCTCGCTATCGTATTTGCAGTTTTCTTTTCTCTCGAATTGATGGCTATTTCATTATTTTTTTCTTTATCACCGTTATCTGGTCATAAATTTAGGGAAACTATACTCGAAAAGGTTTGCCAAGAGATTGGAGGCCTTTTAACCTTGCTTCTGGTTGTAGATTGGTGGAGGAGCTAATGGGTTATTTTTCCTTGAATGTCCTTTCCTGTAGATATAGATTTGTCTAAATGTTCCTTGTCTTTGGTTTTTCAAATTTTCTTTAGATTCCAGATTTATCTAAATATTTCTGTTTCCCAGAGTTTCTTTTAAATTTAATTTTAAAGTAAATCCTTTGTATTAACATCGAATTCAGTATAAGGGTTGAATTATCAGAAACCCTATATTATTGTCACCATTACATCATATCACAACCCATTTCCTATAATAAATTCACCTTGATTGAACCCTGCCCTTTCAACTATCCCCAGGGATCTATTATAGCATCCATGTTTGAATTCAACCCTCCGAAAGGTAAAAAAGATCAAATTTCCCAAACAAAATGTATAGAAATCGAAATGACAATAATCTTGTTTGTTGCCAAACATGCATCGGTAGGCTTCTGTGTTAAGGGGATTATAGACGAGACATTTGTTGGGAATATTTCTTTTTGTTTGTTTGTAAGGGTGATTTTCGGTCCTCGGACCCTTCTAGTTAGGCGATTACCAGCGGTTTTATGGTAATGGTTACTGAATGAAATTATACTTAAGGGACTTGGCAAAGTTAACTGTATTAAAGGGAAATTTTTCTATACAAAATATTTAGTTTTTTTTTTTATAAGTATTTCAACTTTAATTTGTAAATGAAATAAAGACAAATTGTTGTCCTACGTTCGAACCAAATTTAAAATTGCCTGTTTTGGGGTATTTTTTGTAAAACTTTTAAAAAACATACGTATACCTACTTTGAAATCTGTTCTTTCAGACGTTTGAGAAAGTCCTGGTATGTTTTCTATTTGGAACTCATAAATAGAGAATAAAAGGTCGGGTAACTTGGCTACAATGGCTACCATCAAATTTTCGATTTTTTTTTATTACACTTAAATATCGCAATAATATAAAATGCAGTCCTTCACGAGAAAATTCGTAATTTAAAAAGTCTAAACGATAGGTAGGTAGGGAGTTTCTACAATTAGAAAGAGTCCGATTTGAAAGTATACTTCTTGAAAGTTTCAGTTCGCCAGCTGTTTCTAGAAAAGTTTTACAGAACTAATTTGAAGAAAAGGTACCCCAAAACAGTTATTTTTTGAAAAAATTCAATTTTTCATCAATTCACAGATCTTTCTCAATGCCAGTCAAAATCAACTAACCTCCTAAGTATGAAAATTTCAATTTTTCGCCATTTCTCAGACCTTTCTCGAAATCTGTATACCTAGGTACATATTTACCATTTTGAGGTCGTGAATCGACAATGACACGTCAATAAATTTTCATTGAAATCGTGAGAAAATATACGGGAAAATTCGGAATTAGAAAAGTACGATTAGAAAAAGCACATTTCAAGGTACCCTTTTTGAAATTTTCAGAAAAGTTTTTAACAGCGCTATTTTTGAAGAACAAATACCCCAATCTCTAATAAAAATTTCTATTTTTCATCATTTCTCAGATCTTTCAGAAAGTCATCAGTCAACAACGTACTTACTATATAATTTATACATTTTTTTTTATCGGAAAGAGCAGGGATGAAATTGAATGAGCATTCTATTAGGTATTATTATCGATTGG